TATGTATATATATATGTATATATATATATATATATACATATATATATGTATATATATATATGTATATATATACATATATATACATATATATATATATACATATATATGTATATAGAACACATAAAAATATAATAGAAAAAACATTAACAATCAAATGAACGGGCATGTTTGTTTCGATCCATTAAGTCGTATACATTCCCTGTTCAGCACCATGGGCCTCGTCAGTAAACAAGTCATTTCTCGAGGAGATGAAAAATCCGCCATTCGTTTTGCGGCCTTCTAATCGAATTGCTTGAATGAAATAGAAAATTGACTAACCTCATTACAGATGTTGATGGGACTACTGTTCAGGATTGGCTCCAGGGCTGGATTCTTGTTGTACTAATCGAAGCGGCATTTTTTGGTACAGGCAATATTGCATCCCTGAACAGTTTCAATCCATCATTTCTGCGCTGCTTCATATCGGTTTTTTCACCGTTCACGATGACTGCGATGCTGATTTTTAAAATTTCATTGCCAATTCTGGCAGTTGCATTCGCCTACGCCGTGATTGTTCGCATAAAAAATATCATGATAAACAAGTTATCAATGGTTCTTCTGATCATCACCGATGCAATGGCTCTGGTAATCATTATTGGAGCCTTCCTGGTTATTTATATAACTAATAGGATTTTTTCCGAAAGCTCGCGAATGGAATGGTTTCAGGTATTCTTTTTCCGACTGGTCGATGAAGGAAGCTGGCAGGATATTGGCACAAGTATAAGCCACTACGTGATTTGCATGTTGCTAACTGTTATCGTTCATCTTTTGTTGAATCTCACTGAACATTTGTTCCCTCTCTCCTTCCCCAGCAATAAATACTACATAGATAGGATTTTCGGAAATTTACTTCGGTTTTTACGCACCTCAAAAACCACTAAGAGTATTGTATGAGTGTTTCTAATCTCAACAAACCGACGAGTTGGTGTAGTGGTAAACTGCTGTTCAGCACAAGCTGAAAATTCGCTTTTTCTGGTCGAGTATCAGCCCCTTTATATCCCGATCCTAAAAGTTAATAAACTGTGTGTATGTGAGTAACACCTAGTTATATTTATAATTACATGACTTAACTAAAGTAATACAACGCAACGTAAGATAAGACATAAAAAAAGGGTGGTGAGGTTCTGGGGGGCCGAAGCTCCCCAGAACCTCATCAACCTTTTTGTATTGTCAGGGATAAGTTGAAAGGAGCAGCTTTCTCGAGTAGCTCGAAATAGTTTTGGATCCCGGGGATGGGGAGAAGTGTTTTTATACCCCAGGAGTCAGAGATTACTGAGATTGCAAAACCTTAACGGGGATAGGGTGCCCAAAGAGTGAACAATGGGCCGAGATATTGCATTGTGCTGATGCAGTTGTTCCTTACGCCATTTCTAATAAAAAAGGATAAATCATCATTTGATATATTACGTGACAGTCATTAACACACTGACTGCCTGAAACTTAAAACTACTATCAGCTTGCTTCTAAGCATCCTTTTGGAAGAGGTGGCCGTGGTCAATCCCCATCTCTTTTAAACCAGGAACAATGACAAGCACCAAATTTCCGTGGTTTTTGATGTCACTCACTAAGGTGGTGATCTGGAACAGAGGTTTTTTTCTGAATGTCAAAAAAAACACTGCGTTTCCACTACTATGAATTACACACATACACCTGTTTTTTTTGCTTGCGAAAGATCTTTACTGAGGCTAATTTGGCCTCCTGATATCCTCAGTTTTCACTAATTGGTTTACAAAAGCTAATCCACAGTCATACTCCAGGTTAATGTATTTTGTACATAGCAGTGCATTTTGTTAAGGATAAATGATACGTGTCGGTTGTACCGACTGCATGACATTTTTGTACTAATTTGCCCAGGGAACTTCAGCGTTTTCCGGGTTAAGAGGTCGGTCGACATAGATTTTAAGCGGTACCTCGGGCAAGGATTTATTTTTTATAACACCTCGGAATCCTGAAAATGCATGGCAGTAGCTGGCATTCACCACTTTTACACGTAACATTTACATTCATTTTCACTAATTACATCGAAATAAAGCGCACAAATCAGCAGCGGTGGATTAAAAAAAAA